TTTTTTTTTTTTTTTTTTTTTTTTTCCCCCCCCCCCCCCCCCCCCCCCCCGCCCCTCTCATCCCAGAGAGGCGTCCCTCCCCTGCCATGCTTCCCCCTCCTTTTTTTTTTTCTTTTTTTTTCTTTTCCCCTTTTTTTTAATCTTAAGCCTTTGTGGAGGCTCCTGTTTTCGGTGCTGGCGGAACAGGAATGCGTGAGGGCGTGGGCTGCCTGGTTGTTTGTGAGGGATGGAGAGCGGGGCGGGCGGTGGGAGGACATTGCTGCTCACTTAAACCCAGCTGGTCCCCTCCAACCCCTGTGGGGGCAGGGAGGTGGAAAGCCTATTAAAAAAAACCTGCCGAGCCTGCTGGCACATTCCTTAGGCCCCCAAGTCCTGGGTAAGTGGCCCTAATTATTAAAATCAGCAGTCCTTATCAGATGACAAGGCCTTTTGCTTTGATATACAAAGGCTGAAGCTTAACAGCCCCATCTTTCCCTGGAAGAGGAACAAAATGTGCACCTTAACATGCGGCTTTCAAACCTCCCTGCATAATCCCCTTATCGCCTGCCGGAGATATGTATATTGATCCCGGCTGGGAGGTTGGAGTAATGGGAGGTAGCGGGTAGGGGGACGCCCAGGTCGTCCCCCCCCCCCGTGCCCCTGCCATGATGACCCCACCATGCTCTGTCACTGCCCATGAATTTTTCACACTCATGCTCTTGAGTACTCCGCTCAAACATCCAGGCTGGGCTTTGGGTTTGTTTCTCCAAGCGAAGCCAAAGGTGTTGGTATTGGTAACCCACATGCCCATTAATACAACCTGCTGCTCCTGTCCTCACATTCCCCCATCCTTCTCTTCCCCACCCAACTCTATGCACAAAACCGCAAGTTGAACAAGTAGTAGGTTCTAAAAACTGGGCCTTTTTATTGCATGTTTTTATAATGCCAGGAAGATGGCACCCATCTTTGGGAGGCCAAGCCTGAGACAGCAGATTTCAGCCCTGTCCATGCCTCCTCTGACACATGGTGGTCCTGCTCCACTATTTTCAGGCAGTTCTCTTGTTTCAGGCAACACAGATACCATAACTTGTGTTCCCAAAGGGGCCCTAACTCCTCTCTTCAGAGTAGACTTAAGTACTTGTTAGCTGGTGCCTCAATGGCTTTCAGTGGGACGTGAGCTATGAACTTCTTGATCTTTTGGCTGCTGATGCTGACAGCAAAATTCCTGCTGACCTCAGCAGTGCAGCATCAAGCTTTAAGGACCAAGTTCTTGAAGGTATCAGAGTATGTAGAGATGCTTCCTGGGATTTTCTAAAGCACGTTTCCAATGCTGAAAGCAACATCTTTGAATTGGGACTTTGGGTGTATTTAGACAGAGTGCTTCCTGGTTGCTCCTGCTGACCTCAGCAGTGCAGCATCAAGCTTTAAGGACCAAGTTCTTGAAGGTATCAGAGTATGTAGAGATGCTTCCTGGGATTTTCTAAAGCACGTTTCCAATGCTGAAAGCAACATCTTTGAATTGGGACTTTGGGTGTATTTAGACAGAGTGCTTCCTGGTTGCTGCTGGTCTGAGAAGTGGGTGGTTAGTTGCTTCTAAAGAGGTTGAGCAGCCAGTGTGCAAGGTTCCCATAAGGAGAGGGCTACCATGAAACTTGTGTGTTTTTGTCTAGCCCAAGACTGGCTGGTAACTAGATTCCTGTTTTGCTTGTCCCTAGGTCCTTCAAGAGGAACGATCCCGTTAACCCATACCATGTGAATTCTGGCTATGTTTTTGCCCCAGCAACCAGTGCAAACGACAGTGAAATATCTAGTGATGCCCTGACGGATGACTCCATGTCAATGACGGACAGCAGCGTGTAAGTATCTTGCGCTGGCCGGGTCCTTTTGGGATGCGTCATCTGTGAATCAGCTGTGCCGATGCACCATGGGGGCTTACAGGAGTGATGGGTCCAGGGTCATCACCCTGCTTCTGCTTGCCATTGACTGGGGGCTGCCGAAATGGAGGTGTGCACCCAAACCGAGAGGTGTAGCGCAGGGCATGGTAGCCTCGCTCTTCATGCGGTTGCCGGCGGTATTGGATGGAGTAAAATAATGAATCCCTCTATTGCCGTTTTGCAACTGCAGCTGAGCAAACATGTTTTCCCCTATGCTAATGGTGCTGCCTGGCTAACCCAAGGAGCGTATCTCCCTGAGCCTTTGTCTTAAGGCCAGGCTTCCTTAACTAGTTATCAGTCATCAAAGAGGAGGAGATTACTTCCTGTAGGAAGTACTTTCTGTAATTAAGGTTCGTCATTAATGTCAGAATGTACATTAATAGGGCCAGTGACCTGAAGGGGCAAATAGCTGCTCATCTAGTGTGGCTGGGGCAGTCTTCAAAGAGCCATTTGAATGGAGCTGTGTGGATCAGGTCTGGGTGTTTCAGGAGCGTAGGGATGAGAGATGATGCTGTGGCTGAGCCCAGGAATTGCAGGATCTGTCTTTTCCTCCTGACTCTGCTGAGACATGTGCAATTGGGAGCAAGTCATTTGACCGTTTTTCCTCAGTGTGCTTTCCCCAGCAGGAGAGAAATGGTGCTTTTGTGTCTGGGGGTAGAGGAGACAGTAATACTCACTTCATGCTCCTAAGGACCATTTTCTTCAACTGGGCGGAAGGCAGATGTTGGCGTTTGTGTTTCATGGTCTTCACTTACTTAAGTACAAGTGCTCTAGAAAAGCCCACCTGTAAACAGAGTGCTGCATTCTTGGTCTTCATCTCATAGGTGAAACTTCTTCAGTGTCTCTATCAGATGTGTCCAGTGATTAGTTACTCCTTGGAGGGGTTTGCATGCTCTGTTTTTAAAGTCAACAGTGCTGTATGATGATGCACAGCAGAAAACAGGATTTACCAGAAATCCTTGCTGTGTAAACAAAAGCTTTTTTTTTTTAATGCACATGTGTATTTTGAACTGATATTATGGAAAAAAATAGTTTGTTGTCCCACCAGATTCCCGTATTGAACAATATTGGCATTAAATAAAAGAGCTGAATCATAGGGTGACTTCTTTATTTCTTCTTACTGGCTCTGGTTGTATGTGATCATGTGTCAACAGAGCATTCATTGGGTTAGTCATTTCTGGACCAGTGTAGGGTCACTTGGGATTCACAGGGCTAGGATTATACCCTCTCTTCACAGCAATGCCAATTGTAGGCCTTATACAGATGAGAGCACTGAGTGAGAAATAAAGTGCATGGTGGATGAAAGGCTTAACTGAATCGCTTTCAGCCCATTGTTAGTCCAGGGGAGCTTAGCGGGGATGAGAGGGCAGCAGCCCGCTTTGAAATTTGCTTGAACAAGTGAATAGGAGCTCCCCATAAAGCAGCGCGTGAAAGGAGCCTGCCTGTTTTTTCCTGCCGTAACAATAGCCTGCGCAGGCTGTGAGAGTTTGGGGAAGCTTGGCTGATTAAACTGCCCGCAGCTCCAGGTTGGGGGGCGGTGGGGAGGGCTGGGGGGAGCCGGACGGCGGAGGCTGGAGGAATATTTCCTGCTGCAGAACCAGTCCCCCGGGCATCCCCGCGGCCACGCTCCGTCCGCAGGGCCGGGAGCAGGCAGGCACGCCGGGATGCTGGGTGTTTTTGGAAGTGGGAGAGGTAAATTGGCAGTTTTGGAGGCTGGGCTTAAAGTTAAGGCTGATGTAAAACTTCCTTTGCAGAGGCGACGGGCTGCTGCCAAGATTGCAGTAAAACATGGGATTTGCAGCCTCTCCTGGCACCTGGCTCTGCTGGCTGCTGAAGATGCTGTAAGGGGGTGTGGGCACAAACCGGCCATGCTTTCATAGGCTGAGCCCGGCTGCTCTTCGGCCTGTGAGGTTTTACCCCCCTTTAACAGAGGACCCGAGTTTATTCTGTTTCGTCAGTGTGAATGCAAATTAGTTCTTTTGGCTTATATTGGTATCAACTGAAGAGGAAAAACTTGTTCTGGAAAAGTCTGTCAGACATAGCAGTAAAGTGATTTTTTTTTTTTTTTTTTAATAAATCTAAGTATGAACTGTACTGGAATTAGGAGAGGTCTCCAAATAATGCACAATCTGCCTTTTTTTTTTTTAGTATAGATGCCAGGGATCAGTCTGTCCGTATATATTTTGTAATAGCCACCAAGCATCATGCAAATTTATATTTCCATTTCTTGATTGGGGTGGGGAGAGGAAAGGGGATTTTTTTTTTTATTTGCTTATATCTTATTTATGGATTTACTTTGGACACAGGGGAATGCTGCTGAGCAAACTTCAAATATTACCTTATCTTACAAACCAGGCTTTTGATGTTGGCAAGATCAGAGGCTTGTTTCAGAGCCGTTGCCAAATGAAGATGGGAGTGAATGCATATGCGCATGAGTCTGATATTTCAAAGCAGCAGTAAAACTACATTCAGGTTAGGTCAGGCACATCTGAGTCAAAAGGCTAAGATAATTGGCTCAGCTTAAATGGCAGCTGACTGGGTAGAAGACTTCAAACTAGTGTTTCCCCCAGAAACAGATTGGCTTAGCCCCAGCCTGGTTAGCTGAAATGTTTATAATTAAACTCTACTATTTAGTGCCTAAACTCTGTAGCTCTTCAGCCCGCAGCTTTTAGTAGCCAAGAAAGTGAGTGCAAATGTTTGCTGCTGGAGCAAGGGGAGAGGTGGCACCTGGAGAACTGGGGTTAAGCCTTGTCCTGCCCAAAACCTCTGGCCAAGCTCAGCCTTTTCATTTCAAAGGCACTTTCTCCTGGTCTGGGGGGTCTGCTTCAGCATCAGGGTTCCCCCCACCCCCCATATCTCTTGCTCTACTGAGCCTGGCTCTAGCTCCATCCGTCTGTCCCTCCTGCAGTCGAGCATCACCCGTTGGTCACCCCTTCAACCCTGCCGTTGTCCATTTTCCCCCCGTTTTATATGGAAGGCCTAGGTTTAGACAGCACTCATCAAAGTGGCTGTAAAAGTCCCTCCCCATTCCTCAGGCTGAGTTTCCTGAGCTGCTCCACAGCCTTCCCATCCCATTGAAATACTTTCTTTTTCTTTTTTTTTTTTTAATCTTTTTAAAATTCTGCATGTTGTTACAAGTTGTGAAACTCTTCTGACAACCAGGGCTGTAGAAGCAGGGAGCAGGAGGTTTGATGTGGGGGTCTCCGGTGCGACTGGAGGAATTCTAGGGGGAAGGAGCAGCCTTCATACTGACCTGAACGAGGGCAAATCTTAGATAAAGTGAGGAGCTGTTAAAGTTGGGTCAGCGTTGCTTTTCCTCCTCCTTTTCAAGCCACCCTGCCTGGGAATGGTGCGAGTCCCTGCTCCTGCTCCATAGCCCATCCCAGGACTCTCCCTTTGGGCAGAGACGGTCCCCCGGAGCTGGGAGCGTGGGGACACCCTGCAAGGACATGTGCTCCCAGCTCGATGGCTGCAGCAGAGGGGCTGGGGATGACATCTCAAGCTTGCAGACCTGGAGGGAGGCGGGGAGCGCAGGAGGGCTGCAGGGCTCCCCGTTGTCCCTTGGTCATGTCCTTGGGTGCCTCGTGTTGAACGCACTGGCCTCTTGGACTGCTATTTATAGAGGACACCTCCTCTTTCATGGAGTATGTTAACAGGATTAGTCCCTTATGTGCATGCATGTAACGTGCTCATGCTGGCATTTTTACTTACTTACCTTTAAAAGGCCTATTTTACTGGTTATTCCCTATGTTGAAGGTCTTCCCTAAGGACCCTTATCTCAATAAGCCCCAGTTAACAAATGCTTCTCTGAAGGTACAGATGATTTGGTTTTCACCTTAGATTTGCTTTCCCCCCATCCTCCCCCAAAGCTAAGGCATGTCATGTGCCCCAAGCCCTGTTGCCCCATGGGCTCATGGAGCAGAAATTCTTGGTGGTCACCAGCGGCTGTGGTCAGTGACCATGGCCGGCTATGGTGGCTGGTGTGTGCTGGGCTGCTTCCCCAGAAAGCGCTCCAGAGCCCCATGTTGTGCAATGGGGACATTAGGACAATTAGCTCCTTTCACTTGTAATGTAATGTGCGTTCATGGACCGTGTCTAGAGGAGGCTGATGTTCATCTTGTGGCACCAAGGACTTTCTCTGCGGTCCTAGCTTGCTCTCTTTTATTATAAAGATTTTTCCAAGTTTTTAAAGATGAAATTGTTCTGGTCTTTTACTCAGGCTTTGCAACTTAATCTTGCTCATTAAAACAATTTAATGGCAACTGAATGCTTTGGCCAAGATCTTCACAAAGGCCTGCGATAGCATGCTTCAAACCTTGAGCATGGAGCTCAAGGTATCTAATCATCCTCCTCAAGAGAAAGGACCTGGTGTCTCCAGGAAGGCATTCCCTTGCGCCTTGTCTCCGGCTGCGTGTCCAAAACATGTCAGTGTGTGCCCACCGCTGCCGCGGCCACCAGAGGTGGCACGCAGGGATGCCATGGCACGTTGGCTCCTCTGGCAGCAGCGCAGGGCCGCCGCCGCTCCTCCTTGGGCAGGAGCTATTTTCTCCGCTCAGGAGATGAGTCAGGTGTGGGGGCAGGTGGATGAAAGGGATGGGACTGGAGATCAAGGTTATTCAGCCAGTCTGAGGGAAGGGGTGGAATTAGACATTCAAGATCTCCAGGCATGCTCTTCCGGCTGTCCCCGCTGTCTGTAGAAGGCTCTTTAATCCTAACTGAGGTAATTTTTTGCATGGCCAGATGAAAACACACCATGTTGCCTCGAGTGGGCTGTGCAGGGGGCTGTTCCCACCAGTGCTCCTCGCCTGGTCTCTTCTCATGGCTTCCTGGCTTGAGCTGGCGTGGCCGAGGGGAGCAACGTCATGCCCGGAGGGTACGGCCAGGCTTTGCTCATGCTTCGTGGTGGCCTGCCTATGCCGGCCAGCCTCAGGGCAGGAGAAACATCCCGGATCTTAAGTAGGGCTAGAGATGGGGAGCAGCCTTTTGATGGCCATCCATCTTCAGCCTCTTCCTTCTTCTTTCCACTGTGCCAACACTCTATGGGGTGTTTCAGAGCTTGAGGAAAGTTGTGGTCTTAGAAAGCGTAATTTGGTGGTGAAAAAGCAACAAAAATAAAGGGCAGAAGCAGAAACCTAGCATTGGAAAGGCCTTTCTGTAAGATGCCTCAGAAGTGAAGGTGATGGGATCTTTGGGCGTCTTCCCGTGCAGAGTTGCCATCACCTTGCTTTTCGGCTTTTGCTTAATTACTGCACATCCATGTAGTTGGTGACACAGGCACGTCCCAAGCCACCAGATGTTCGAGGCTTCAGGTGATGTTCAGAGGGCTCAGCACCTCTGGGAACGTGGGCCTGTGGCATGCCTGGCTGGTTTCAGAGGTGATGGTTAGAGCATGGGGAGAGCCCTGACTGACAGTGACCTCTCTTCCGTGTGCAGAGATGGGATCCCCCCGTACAGAATTGGGAGCAAGAAGCAGCTCCAGCGGGAAATGCATCGGAGCGTCAAGGCCAATGGTCAAGTTTCTCTACCTCATTTTCCGGTAAGTTCAGGTGGGAGCTGCAGGGTCTGGGTTGGCCATAGGAAATTCTGGGACTGGGAATGAGCACATGGAGGGAAGGGAGCAGGGGAGGAGAGCGTTTCCATCCCTACGTGATGCCAGAGAAAAGACGCTGCTTGGTGTTGGGCAGGAGCCACGTGCTCTCAGCATCTTTGCAAAAATCTGCTTGTGTACAGTCACATTTTCATCCTTCCCTGAAAACCAGCTGCTAATTAAGGCTTTTCAATGGCACTGAATTTGTCCTCCTGGTCTAAATCCAAGCAGAGATGCCCCAGTTGTGTCTAGTGAGAGCCTTGGCTCTGGCCACCACCCTGACACCTCCGCTGGTGACGAGCAGACCAGGGCTTGGCCTCATGCGCATCACCGGTGGCCTTCGAAAGCACACTGTCTGTAAGCTGGTAGGAAGGAGGATCTCCCAAAAAAGAGACATTTGTAGCAGATACGTTCCTTGCTTTGAGGGGATCCGATTCGTGGCATTGCCGTGCTCTCAAAAATTAACTCGCTGACTTGCTAATTCAGTTGACTTGCAGACTCCCGATTCCTGCAGTGAATAAACTGTTTACACAGACAAGTATAAACTTATCTTGTCTTGAGATTAATATGCTAAAATTCCTCTTTCTGCTGTCTTAAGCAGCAAGAAATCATAGATGATATTTCTGGTGGAGGCGGGGGGGTGGTTTATGTGGTTTTTCTTTTTGGTATTTTTTTTTTCCCCTTCCTCCCTAAAGAAAGTTCTATAGCCTGAGCTTGTAAATTAGATTATTTTGTCCCAGGGCGTGCAAATCGACTTTCTCTGTAAGGCAGTGCTTTGATCAGGGACTGAATAGAGCCAGCTTGTGTAAGAGTGACAATTTCCAGCAGAGTGGCCTTTTTCTACCCTCACATCATTTCTGGAGCTAAGTGGTTGCCGGAGAGAGGCCCCACCTCATCTGGTGGGTAGTATGTGAAAGAGTTGGCAGTTCAGCTTTCTGCTTTCAGGGGGAAAAAAAAAGAGGGAGAGAGAGGGAGAGTGGGGGCGAGGAGTGGGGTGCGTGGGGGTGGCAGGAGGGAGGGCAGAGTCGGGTGGGTGGTTTCTTTTTCCTCTTTTTTTTTTTTCCCTCCCATTTTTCCTGCCATGTTTGCTTCTTTTGGCAGAAATTCGCGTTTTGCCTTTTTATATTCTGCACTTGATTTGGAGATGTTCCCTTTTTCCCTTGATAGATCTGCTTGAGGCAGCCAAGCTCAGCAGTGTAGCACTGCTAGCCTGCAGCAGCTTTCTTCATTTTCTGTACAAAGAGATGGAGGGGGGGGAAGAGATCTAGGACACTGTTGAGACAACACTACCTCAAAGGTGCCCAGTGTGTAGCCAGGAAATAAATTACCAGCACTTCTCTGATCTGCAACCGTTTGACTTCTTTTTTTTTTTTTTTCTTTTTTTTTTTTCTCCTTTCCCTTTTTCTCCCCCCTCTTTTTTTTTTTATTT